CCAACCGGCGTCGAGATCCTTCAGACCCTAACCGGCGCCGCGCTGGCACTGAGGTGAATGAGGACGTGGAGGACCCCAACCGCCGCCGTGATCCCTCAGATCAAAACAGGCGCCGCGATCCAGCAGACCCCAACCGGCGCCGCACTGACCCTTCGGACCCCAACCGGCGTCGGGATCCTTCAGATCCCAACCGGGGACGTGGAGGACCCAAACCGACGCCGTGATCCCTCCGACCCAAACAGACGCCGCGATCCAGCTGACCCCAACCGGCGCCGCACTGATCCTTCGGACCCCAACCGGCGTCGGGATCCTTCAGATCCCAACAGGCGCCGCACTGGTTTTCTCTCGAACGACACTGAGGTCAACGACACTGAGGTGAACGAGGACGTGGAGGACCCAAACCGACGCCGTGATCCCTCAGACCCAAACAGGCGCCGCGATCCAGCTGACCCCAACCGGCGCCGCACTGACCCCTCGGACCCCAACCGACGTCGGGATCCTTCAGATCCCAACCGGCGTCGTGCTGGCACTGACGTGAATGAGGACGTTGAGGACCCCAATCGCCGACGCGATCCTTCCGACCCCAACAGGCGCCGCGATCCAGCTGACCCCAACCGGCGCCGCACTGACCCTTCGGACCCCAACCGGCGTCGGGATCCTTCAGATCCCAACCGGCGCCGCGCTGGCACTGAGGTGAACGAGGATGTGGAGGACCCAAATCGCCGCCGTGATCCCTCAGATCAAAACAGGCGCCGCGATCCAGCAGACCCAAATCGACGCCGCACTGACCCTTCAGACCCCAACCGGCGTCGCGATCCTTCAGACCCCAACCGGCGCCGTGCTGGCACTGAGGTGAACGAGGATGTGGAGTGACCCCAACCGCCGCCGTGATCCCTCAGATCCAAACAGGCGCCGCGATCCAGCAGACCCCAACCGGCGCCGCACTGACCCTTCGGACCCCAACCGGCGTCGTGATCCTTCAGACCCCAACCGGCGCCGTGCTGGCACTGAGGTGAACGAGGATGTGGCAGACCCAACCCGCCGGCGCGATCCTTCAGACCCAAACAGACGCCGTAATCCCGCAGACCCGAACCGGCGCCGGGTAAGTCCTGGAGGACAGGTTCGTGCTAGGTTCTCAGATTTTGCCACGCACCATGTTAAGACACAAAGCCTGTGCTCAACTCGAGGCCAAGCGAATCTATGAAGAGGGAGGTCATGCTGTTTATCGAGCCGAGCTCATCGTGTCCCCTTTGCCTATGGATGTGGAATCTGGAAACTTGTCCCAGAAGCTCACGTGTAGGACATGGTAGAAGGAGTTCTTGTGTGAGGGAGTATGGAAGGTTCATGCTGCCAGTGCGAGTCTGAGGCGATATTGTTTCACAGGGTCGAGATGGCGACTGGCCACGCAGCGTGGTGGTTGCCACGGATGCTCCACAGGGCTCCACCACATTGGATGTTCGTTACACATCCATTTGGAGACCGTGCTTCGGAGGCGGCTCGAGTGCCGAGACAACCACAGGAGCTTACGGAGAGGAGCGGGTTTTGATAACCTTGTTGCGAATCTTCATTCAATCTGTCGGGGCTTCTAACAAGATTCAGGGTTCAGCTATAGTCCCATGTCTGTCATGATTGTTTTGGATGTTTCGTTGGTGCGAAGGTGCATGAGGGTTCTGCCCTTCAGAGTGGTTAAATGCTCACAGGAGATACCGTTGTCAGCGCATTGCCTGGACACTGCCACCCCGCTGCTCGCGGATGGGGTTGAGCTAGGAAGGCCGGCGGCGGTTTATCACTACTTCCTATCCCTTGCGGCCTTCTCGTCTCAAAGTGCTGCCCGCATGGCCGGCATACCCGAGTATGACATCCGTCGAAACATGTACAACATGTCAGACTTCGCCCACCAGTTCATTCTGAATCTGTGGGATGGAGATGAAGGAACACCAATGTTTTCGGAAAGCGTCGGGTACGAATACGCCATTATTCAAAAAGCCGTTGTGTTCATGTCTGCCTCTGGGCGTTGTCTGGAAAGGTTTTTGAGAGTTTCATGCAACTGCGTGTGCGCACCGGCGGGACTGCGGTCCTGTTCCAATCAGCTGAGGTTTGGATGGAGATCGTTCATGAAATGGAACAAGCAGTGGGGTTATGTGGAGCAGCTGATTTCCAGGCAGGGAAAGCCTTTCATTGAGCAGGTATCAATCCACCTTTAATCCTTTCCCCCTACGTAGTATTAAAGGGGCTCCCCCCCATGCAAATACTCCGAACCGTGTTTAATATCAGAGGGGTATTTATCGTACGACCCGAGGCGCTTTAAAATGGGGTCCTATTGAAATCTGATTAGAATCGTGTAAAATTCAATTGAACCTAATAAGGGACTATTTCAAAATTAGGGCTTCAGTAGTGACTATTTCAAACTAGGGCCTTATTAGGACTATTTCAAATTAGGGCTTTATTAGGGACTATTTCACATTAGGGCATTATCATGGACTATTTTAAGGAATATTCCAACTTCGGCCTTATCAGCGACTATTTCGAATTAGGGCCTTAATAGGGACTCTTCCAACTGAGGGCCTTGGAAGAATCTGTTTGAGAATGTTTTGAATTCTGGCAAACACGTTTTTAGTATAGGCTGGGTTGTAATATTAGAAAAAAGGGATTGGCTGTCATTATTTATTCTGCAGGAGAGTGCAAGCCGGCGGCGAACTGATCCCTCGGACCCAAACAGGCGCCGCGATCCAGCAGATCCAAACCGGCGGCGCACTGACCCTTCGGATCCCAACCGGCGTCG